TCAAAACCTGGAATGGATTAACTTTCGTTCTGGGAAATATCGCTCATTTCCTGACAGCCGATGCTGAATCCATTAAACAGAATACCAAGCTTCTATGCGAGCTAAACCTGATTGACCTGAACTACATCAAGAAACTAAATCCTCAACTGGGACAAGTCGTCGTCACCAATTTCGGAAAATTCAGAACCTTCGCCCTTATAGTAAAAAAATACCATTTCGATAAACACAGAACAGAACCTTCAAACTCTGCCTACGAAATCTAAAAACGGCAATCGAAAAATATGAGGTCAAAGAATTGAAAATGGTGATGAAGAGACATGAAATTGATGAAGACTTCAAGATTAGATACTATCTAGAATAAGAATTCCAAGCTCACTCTGTGACCATCACCTTGTGTCACGGCAACGTCCGAATGCCCCCCGAGCCCCTAAGACCCGAAATCATCCGGGAATGCCACGAAATACTGTCTGCAGGACACAAGGGAATAGTTACCACCATACACCGGCCCCTACGAAATAGTTGATATCACTGAGAGGGGTAACATCTACCTAGAAAGCGAAGATGGATATCACTTCATGAAACACCCTAACAAACTAAAACCCTGCGAAGATTAGCATACCACCGGTGCTGCCAATAACTAGGTACACTATCACTACAAAAGAACCTGTTGCAGGGAATGGAAGGAAGAATTCCCGTATATGTAGATGGATCCTGCTCGTTCAACAGCGATGTTAGTGCTAAGGCCGTAATTGGAATCTGGTTTGGAGAAAAATACGCCTTGAACACCAATGAAACCCTGGACGGAACACGAGCTACAAACATCATCGCTGAGCCAGCTGCCGCTGTTGAAGCATGCGAAATCTGCCTAAGACACGACATCCAAAGAATCACCATCCTCACGGATTCCAAGTACTTGACCAGCTCCATGAATCAATATCTTCCCGAATGGAAAGCTAATGGATGGTTAACCTCCAAGGACAAACCAGTAGTAAATCAGCAATTGCTACAACAACTAGATCAACTGATCCAGCAGCTAGATATCCAACTAACCTACATACCAGGGCACAAAGAAGTACATGGTAACGAGCGAGCGGATGAACTAGCAAGGCTGGGATCTGAAATCCATCAGTAAGTTGCTAACAAAGCACTGAGCCCAAAACCATGTTGAACCATAGCTATCCATTCAACCCCATTTAAAGACATTAAGAATACGTAATCCTATGAAATTCCACTCGCCCCAACAGGAAGACAACACTACTATGAAATATCCCAATACCATCCTATGGATAATACTGCGATGGACCATAACTACACAAAAAACGGAAGGCGCCAGGTATACAAACTACATCCCCATAATCCAGGCTTGTACTATGAAAAAATCGACCAAATCCGGATGATCAATAATAACTGGCGACTCCTCATTACCATCGACCTAGCAAGTCTAACAGGACTGTCCCTACCAGGAACACAGTTAGTTGATGGACTCCTGCAGGAATGCCGACAACTACTGCCTGAGACGGAATGCCACAAGGGATTAGATACCACCCTCATGGATGATTACAACAAGGAACTCAGGCACACTCAGGGACATCTTGTAAAAATTCTAGAAGCACCGGAAAAACACATCCGTGATGAAATCCTGTCAGCTGACAGGCCCACTCGCACACACTCACTCGCACCACTCACTCACTTACTGAACGCTCTTCCCACTCATGCTCAGCGCTCACCTCTCACCTCAGATGACCAAGGGGTCATCTTTTTTGAGACCTTTATCCTATATAGATAGTATAACTATATAGATAGTATAACTACACCATGTGACCGCCAAACCAGTATCACCTGCCATATTGTGGCAGGTTATTCTCTCTCATTGTTATCTCAACCGTTATACAGTGTATACGCGTATTTCTCAGGACGGCTCACCATTTCCTTTCTCGGAAAAGTAATTACGGTTTTCCCGGTACCGCTCAAATATTAAAAATATTGATTCCTTGTGATCAGCTCAGTGACTCTATTAATAATACAATTGACTTCTTGTGACCTATTAAAAAACCCCCGTATAGTGACTTTTTTGACCCGCTCACCGCTCCCTGAAAAATCCGTCCTCATCTCGTCCATCCGCTCAATATTTCCACTAAACCAGATCTCTCATTAAACAAAAGAGAAAATTGATCTGGCACTACTGAGCCAAATCAGCAACGTAAAAACAACAGACCATGACAAAAAATTCCTGACCATAATCGAGATACCACTCATCTCCAGGAATCAAATGGACTTATACAAAATGGTCTCCTGCAAGGTTCCACAGGAAATTCAGAGAACCCGGAACGTTACCGCCTATATCGAACCAGCCAAAAAATACATTGCATTCGCTCAAATGGTGCCCATTACACCCATTTCAACGAAGATTACCTAAAAACCTGCATTCCACTAGAACAATGCCTTGCCTGTCAGGGGGGAATACCACTGAGGAAAGCTGGCAACCGCAACAGTTGCGAATACCGTCTACTCACCAACGCGGAGGTGGAACTCACACCAAAAATCTACCAGAATTGCAATCTGAAGATCACCAACGATCTAAAGACACAATGGACACGACTCACCAGCAGCAAAGGATGGCTATATTCGATTGCCGAGCCAGAAAGACTGGAAATTACCTGCCATAACCAACCCGCAGATAGTGTGATATTAAACGGATCAGGAATGCTCCATCTCAAGCCGAAAACTGTCACTTGTCGCTCTCAATGCAAAAAACCCCTGATATAGAATAGGTGACAGATTAACACCTCACCCCAGACAACGGACCTAATGAGCCAGTGCCTCTGCCGGCCGCATTAGCATATTAATTAGGTCATACCCCCTACTTACCGACGCAGATTAACACCCACGCAATCCAGTGACCCAGTGCCTCTGCCGGCCGCATTACCATGTTAATTGGGGCACACCCCCTATTTACCGACACCTGCTCATTAAAGAATAACGCGCGAACCGGAACCGTTTAAAAAAAAATAATAAATTTCAGTTTTCCGATAAAATCCCATCTAAAGAAATAGAAGAGATCTTCTCCGCGGGGGCTGTAATGTCCAGACTATTTCAAACAATTCCGCAAAGGCCACCGTAACCAAAAATTCGCTAACTTGCGATTTTTCTAGCAAGTAGAGCCAAGTCAATCAAACTAAAGAGGCCGAAATCACGCTACCTCTCTCACTTCAATTCACCACAGCAAATTGGGCAATGCACAAAAACCCGCCGATGACTTCAGGGCAATATGCAACGCTACAGTCCGCAAAGGCCATCGCAACCCAAAATTCAATAACTTGCAATTTTTCTAGCCAGTAAAGCCAAGTCAATGAACCTAAAATCAAAGAGGTGGAATCACGCCACCTCTCCCACTCCAATCAATTTCCCAATTTTCGAAGGAAGAAATAGCAGACCCTCCCCAAAAAAGTCTGAAAAAACCCGCTCACGAAAGAGCTAAGAATTCCTGGCGAAAATATTATGGCAATCGGTCCGACTTTGGCTAGTGTTTCGGAGTTAATCTTTTATTAAACATTCGGAGTGTTCCTGAATAATAATAGAAAACATTAATTAGCAACTGCTCGGGGATACTGCATCCTTAAGCCGAGAGTAAATAATTTCCTGCATATTAAGGGAACTAGTAGTAAGTGTTGATGAATGGTAGGTGAGACTCAATTATAATTATTAGTGAATAGTAAAAACTAATCGAGAGCCTGGACTCAATTTAATAAACAAATTCAATTAACCCAACTGAGTGAAAGACAGGACTGTACATGATAGTGTACTCCCAGTCACCTGGCAGAGAAAACAGGTGGAATCACCCTAAGAATTCACGACTCATAAACACTAATCGGTCGTAGTGAGTAAATGTCCAATCATAAAACCCGCCATAGATCCATTAATGATTGTAAGGGTTCCTTAAATTATAACTATTTCAATCGCAATTAATGTACAGCAATCCAATTATCCGTTCTAATAAATACGCAAAGTTGAAGAATCCAATATCTCTCACTTTATTCAACTAACTTAACTTGAAAATCACTAATGATAGAATCATCCACAGGTAAGAACAAAAAGAAAAACCAGCGTCGTCCATTATTTTAATCCACAAATTCTAGCTTTAGGAACTTAAGTACTGTCCCTTGACGCAAAAATTCTCTGGACATAATAGAGGTATTAAACCCCAGTATGGAGTTTAGCCCCAAATTATCGCCTTCGATGACTGCTAAGACAAAATACACCTGTTTGGTTTCGCTATTCACCTTTATTGAAATTCCCTTTTCCTCAAGATCACGTAATTGCGAGATTAATCGGGAGAACATTATTTCGTTTCCAAACGTCTTGTAATCCTCGGCTGGGTGGATTTGAGCCAAAAATATATTCTCTAACTTACTTGAAAAGAGGTTCTGGGAGGCAACTAATGTTGTAATGAATTCCCCCGAATTTATTTTTTCCACTATGGGATCCCACAGGCTTCCCCGCTGCGAAATCGTCAAAATACAAGGTCAAAGGGATGACCAATTCATTCGGAAAATGTTCCTTTATTTTTCTCTAAACAGTACCTTGCGTAATTGAAGAAAATGGTGATTCTGATTTTTTATTAATCATAAATTTCACAATACTATCGAGGGCTCCGGGCAATTCTAAAAATTTAGTCAAAACTTCATTAAGTGGAACTAATTGTATTGTCACGTTTTTTAAAATTCCCTTTTTTAACACCCCTTCTTGCCGTGGGGCATAAACTGTATGGATTATGTAACTCAGGGGACGAATGAATGTACCTTCTTTTTCTAAGAATTTGAAAAATGTTTACTCCGTTTCAATTGAGGAAAAGGGATCTTTCAGAAGGTTTAGCTTTAATTGGACGTCAGGTGATGCATGTAGCAATTCATTATTCAATGTACAAATACATGACTAATAAAATTCTTTAAATACACTTAAAACCTTTTGGACAATAGATATAGCTACAGTCGTATTTGCGTACAATTTACTCAATAATTTAGCTGCCCTCAATTGAGTTCCTTTTTGGTAGATAATAATGTCAAGATTCGATAATGGCAGATTATTACTACTCGAGGTATGAAGGAGTGAGTCATTATGAAATTGCAAGCAATTCACTAAATTGTTTTCATGTATGCGTGTATCGTGGTTTAAATTCGTATTATCTAATCGTTCAGTAATGGAGTTGATGGGATTATCCTCTGTTCTGAGATGTTTTTCATCTTCATCTTTTTTTCATTAATTTGCGCTTTCCAATCGATATTGAATTAAAATGATCTATGATGATAATATTAAAATTACCTTTCCTAACGTGCTTCTCATAATTATAAATATTAGAGAAAGAACGTAAACAATCCTCTACGGGACAATAACACGTAGTATAAGATTTCCCATGAGCTTTAATATGAAATCTAAAAATATCAACATTCCTTCCAATCTTCTCACAAAAGGGACACGGATACATTTTTCCTCGTGTATTTTTCCCTAAATACTCTCTACGCGTCATAAAATGAACTCAAAACTTGGATATATCTGATATCGAAAAACGTAAAAAACGCTTGAAAATCAAATTTGGAATAAATAGATTTTAAAAGAAAACAATGGTTCACGAGGTACTTTCACACAGACCATCCAGATCAGAGAGAATTTCAGAAGTAACAGAACCTATGTTTTTCACCTGAATACTGTAAAGCCCCTCTTCGATGATTTGCACCAAATATTCGCTGGCAGCGGGATAACTTAAATTAAGAACCTTGTAGATTTTGGATAGAACGTTGAATGCATGAAGGATACCTCTACATTCATACATTACTTGTTTGTCGAGTACGACGTAAACGTCTGATGAGACTTTTTTTTTTAATTCCACAGCGACGATGAATGGTCGAAGAGGTTGCTTCAGCTGTTTCACGGTTTGATTACGCTCAGAAATCTATCGATCAACATCGTTTGTAGTCTAAAAGAAATAAATACGTGAATTTTAACATAATCAAGATGTTTCATATATACATATAACAAATACAAAAAAATATAAAAACCTTAGAAATCAGTATGAGACTGTCTTTGCAATCAGGCACAGAAGGCTCCCACATTTTTTATTTCTTCTGAGAGGGGGATATCAGGTGTGGCAGTAAGCAAATCCCAGCAAAAACTTTTATATCTGTGAAAATTCCCAATGAATAAAAATAATAATTGAAAATTTTCCTATCAATTTTTCAGGGAATGATTCAGCTGAAATTTACAGTTTTGATAAATTTGTCCACGAAAATAATGAATTTTCAATGATGATACTCATTAAAATTTCAATGAAACTATTACTTATTTAATACTTTAAGGATGAAAGACGGAAAATTAAATTGAACATTTTCATCAGTGAAACAGGTTCAAATTAGTAAATCTGTCCAGGATTACCTTCGTTGTCATCATCAGAATGGACTCAACAATGGAATCAACAGTTAAATTACCGAGGTTTTTCTCGTTAACGTTATATCCTTGAAAATAGGATGAATAATTAGAGAAATATTGTTCTCTTCAAAAATATTAAAAGTAAGGAATATACGGAATTTTAGAGAAAAGAGCAATTCAATAGTGAAAGCAAAGGAGAATCAAAATTCAAGATAAAAAAAAAATTCTTTTCCGAGAACGGGATGGTGTAAAAGATTTGGATTGGTGGAAATAATACCACGTGACCAGCGCGAAGCCCTTCAAATCAAGGAGATATTAAGACAATGATTCCATTACGTTGAATCAATGTAATAGTTTTTGATCTTGAAGGGTATTCGAATGTATCGCATATTAAAAGTTTACGTTTCTGAATCGAAAAATATATTCAGTTGTTTAGATAACATGAAAATCCTATGTACAATAACGCATTTGTTCGGTACAGAAATACAGTTGAAATAATGTAATCGGCAACATGATGAAAGCAGTGAAATGAGTTGTTATTACAGACGGCTATATTCATTCTAATGAATCTCACAGTAATTTAACTTGACTATCTGAGGGGATTCAAACATCAGATTCTCAATTCAATTGCATGGAGGGTGTAATTAATGATATATTCGTCCATGCCACCTGAACATGCCGTCAATTTTTTATAGTTGTTCGATGAAATTCGGATCAGTTGATTCGACAACTCTTTGGTGCTAACATCAATGGAATTAAATTCAATGAAGTTATTTCAATGGAATAATGCGTCGTTTTCGAAGGTATATTCCTTTCTTTCTATTCTCTACGGAATGCACTATGCAATTGAAGTAGTAAACCATAGAATTAATGAATTTTCTTTTGGAATGAAGGATTTTGCTTCCAACAACATTAATTCTGTTGAAACTACTATATTTTTCTCTCAGTGCAGGTATAGTAATCACACTTCGTAGTATAATGTACTATAGCACTGTTGACAGAATATTGATCACTAAGAACAGAAACGGAAGTTGTTGGCACCGCCTTCAATTTCTAATTCGGGATTTTCTGGTTGATAGATTTTGCATTTACGTTGAATACATTCAACTGCACAATAAGTTTATCAGAAGTTTAATTTATTCTCGTCTTTCAAAGAAACTCAATATACTCGTCACAATGAGTACAAAATTGAATAGTGTCTTTCCACTCGCGGAAAGCTTGTTCAATTGAATTGTTCAAATCAATCGTATTTTTTAAATCACTCATTAATAGCAGTGGCACCTGAAGTAATTCAGTACGCGAGTGGAGTATGGCAGTGCTCCGCGAAGTTGATCGAATTAAATAAATTAATCATTTGGAGTAAGTGAATTGTTTGCAGGGGGTTTACAAGTCAATAATAGCTAAAAAGTAGCGTTTGATGGATAATCATTGATTTCTAACGATTTTTCTAACATAATGAAAATTTTTATCGGAAGTTAGCTGGCAACTTGAAAAATCATTAAAAATTGCGTATTAACGATTAACCGCTAATTTTTAGCTATCATTGACCTGCCAACCACATAGAACCAATTCAGAGGGTTCAAATAATTAATTTATTTAATTACGAAAAATTGGGGGCTATCTTCCCATAAAAAATTCAATTATTTTCAAAAAATCTTCGAAAATCAATTATTATCAAGCAACCGTTAATTTTTATCTATTATTGACCTGAAAACCAGTTGCGAACGATTCACAGGATTTAAATAATTAACTTACTTAATTCGGTGGTCAACTCCTCCGTGCTGGCAGGCCGCGTATGAGAATGTCAGAAAGAGTGCTCAGTGTAGCGCCATGTAGTTAGCACCGCATAATTAAAAATATATTTTTTTTCATTCAGCCCATTTGAAGGTCCATTGTAGATGATTGCGATATTTTTTTTCATTGTAGGGCGAAATAGCCATTCAATTACCTTCAATTGGGATAAATCAATTTACAATGACTTACAAACCTTCAAACGAGCTGAATCAAAGAAGTAACTAATTAGCAATTATGTGATGGCGACTACCTGGTACTATGCTGTGCGGTGTTAGCGATGCTCTCAGACGCGCTCTGCCATACTCCAAGCCCGAATTAGTTCAGGCGCCACGGCTACGAGACTTTCATGCGGAAGTCTCTGCATACGCATGAGTAACTCGCCTGTAGTCTCTGGACACAAGAAAGAACAGAGAGAGGCAGACTTTATATTCGTTGCCAACTTTGATGAACAAATTGATAAAATGAAATTGTGGAAATATGATATTCAGGTGGTTGCTATGGCAGGATATTTTCATTCCCTGATTTAATAGAGAACGTAAAAATTTCTTCATAAAGCTCACAGTCAACTTGTACAATGTAACTAACGACGGATTTCGCGAAAAATACTCGGGTTACGAGGAAAAAATCCAAACACATTGGGGGAGTAGTTGTGTCTAATTTTGATTCTAATTTTAAATAGAATTATGTCACCTTCCTCACAGTATTACTTAGCGGTTGATATTCAATGATACGGTCATGTAATATCAAACAATATGCAGCTGTTGCATCAGGGAATACTACATTTGATTCGAATTCCAAACGAATATCTACAGCTATCAATCCAATGGGGGAATCAATGTAACTCGTTATCACAAATATATGCGGGTTATTAAAATGTTGATTGATCATGAACCCATAACGGGGTGCGGTTTGCCACACAAAATGCTACTAACGTCCGGCAAGGTTAATTATGTATATTGGGATGATCAAAATGAATTGGTTCACCGCCTACGTTTGCTGCTGGCTTCACGGCAGGCTGGGAATGCGAAACATAATAATGAAATCATGTCAATCATTGAAGAAATGCGTGAAGCTGGAACAGTTTATTAGATCATGTAAAGACTCCCTCGAGCACAATCGCATTGAGCTTTGATCTGTTTGGGCGTCAATTGCCAAGCCATAATCCGGCAAGCGGAATCAGTCGCGGTCTACCGGGATTGGGATTCAGATTGACTGTTGATGGTCAATATGATATAAACTCGAAAAGATTCTGTAATGTTGGACATGCAGTAGCAGAAAATGATGTCATATCAAAGAAAATATTGGATTCAGCAATGGAGGAGCTCCGACACCTTCTGAATGATAATCTGTTAGTGTTGAATGAAAAACTTAATAAACTATAGAACGCAATCGATTTTCGGCAATCTGCAGGTGATCGAATGAATGCGAATGACTAATCGTTTGAGGACTATATAATCCTCCCTCTGAAGAATATTATTCATATTAAGCGATAATGCAAGGAGAGAAAGTTCAACTGGCTGGAGAGCTATATAGACCCGCAAGACGAAATTATCAACGTCGGAAGGTTCACGTTCGCAGCGTTGATGAAATATGGCAACCTGATCTTGTGGATATGAAGGCTTACGCCAGCAGTAACCGCAATCATCAATATATTTCAACGATTATCGATATATTTTCAAAATATGCATGGGCTCTACCAGTTAAGACAAAAAATGCTTTGGATGTTTCTAAAGCCATGAAAAGTGACTTAGCTCTAGGACGCATACCGAAAAAACTGCAAGTTGACAATGGGAAGGAATTTTATAATCAACATTTCCGGAAGCTCATGCAGCAGAATGATATCCACCTGTATTCTACGTTCAGTAATTTGAAAGCATCGATATGTGAGCGTTTCAATCGAACGTTCAAAGAGAAAATGTGGAAGCAGTTCTCATTACATGGGTCGCATCAGTGCTAAAAAAGCTGGTTTCATCATACAATAATACAAAATATAGAACGATAAAGATGGAACCTTCTAATGTTTCTAAAGCTAATGAATATGAAATCTTTCTAAAGTCTTTCAGAGATTTTAGAAGCTATAATGGGCGAGAGAAATTCAACCTTCACGATCGAGTACGGATTAGCAACCGTAAACATTTTTTCGATAAAGGTTATACTCCAAACTGGACAACTGAAGTATTCACTATTAGACGGGTACAAAAGACTAATCCAATTTCATATCTGCTCGAAGATTTTCAAAAAAATTCCATCCAAGGAGCTTTTTATGAGGAAGAACTTGGTAAAGCTCAATATCCCGATGTGTATTTAGTGGAGAAGATCATTAGGAAGAGAGGAGATAAAGTGTCAGTGAAATGGTTAGGCTTTGATCAGGCTTATAATATTTGGGAACATGTGAAAAATATGATATGAATAATAATTATATGATATGATAATCATGTCAACTGAATTTTTATGTAATCATTTATTTCCGTCCGTAGTTGCAGACATTTCATGACCCCATGGAAGTGTATTGGTGGTGTTAGGGAGAATTATTCTTTTATCATCGCACCAATTTAGGGCTATCTTAGTTTGTTGAATAGAATACACTTTATGGTATTTACTGCGAATCAAATACTGAGGTCGACTCAAACTTTCATACTTCAACAAAAAATTCTTGTAATCATCAATGGTGATCGTTGTAACGTGACATTTTCCCGGTGAATGGGAAATGCCCATTACCTTCGCCCTACTTCCCCTGAGCCTAACAAAACCTGCTAAAATTTAACCTTATGGGCGCCAGGTAATTTTTAACCGGAATTACCAAACCGGAAAAAGTCCTTAATCCTAAACTTAACTAACCTCGATATTCGATTCACC